TTTGGGAGTTTCTCCCCTTTTTTGATGGGACGGTGTGGAATTCCAACCTAGCAGATAGAGACCAAACCCTAAAAGGGCTAGAACTCACAGACAGAACACACAGTTGTGATTGGTAAGCAACCGTCACTAAGGCATGCGATGACCATCTAGAGAGCAAAAGACTAACTAAGATGGACTCTACAGATCATAATCCATCCACCAACGCGAAAGAACCTGAAGATTCCACCTGGCAAAACAGGAGGTGAGTTCGCAGTAAAACAAACCCAAGACAAGATAACACACGAGCGAGGCCAGGAGCTGACTCTTGTCTATCTTAAATAGCAGTTTGATTGATCGGCTATCATCCCCCAATGCTACAACACTGTCCAACAAGAACCTATCAAGCAAACCTACTGGTGAGAATTAGAACAAGAGAATAATCCAATTAGATTAATAACTAATATTAGGTAAATTCTCTAGACAAAGCAGTAACTACCAAAGCCTCTAACAACCAGAACATAAGACAACACTTCAAAACAAACAGAGGTAAGAAGAACTTTACTGCACTCAGTATAAAAAAAGAAACTAAGACTAATCAAGAGCCGTCTATTTAACAGAAGCCCACGAAACTGTTCAACAACGAGCTCTAAGCAAATAGGAGAAAAGCACGATCTAAGACTCTATAGTAAGACCATTCGTCTTTAGCAGCTATAGATCAGTGGCACAGAGAACTAATACAGAGATCCACCTTTGTTATCTCATAGAACGTCTTCTTTACATATTTCTCTATTCACCTTGCCTATACCTCTTCTTCTTTCTAAGCACTATATATAAAAGAAAGCATAGTCTCGCTTGCTTCTAGGTACATAAACACTTCAATCATGTTTTATTCACTTGTATTTGAGTTATTTCTAATGAAAATAAAAATTCTAGTTGCTTGAATTTTATCAGACGGGTTGCAGCAACAGTTTGACTAGTCCTTTCTAGTAGCTTGGAGTTTAGGTTTTGGTGACCCCAGTATGAGAACAGCTGTCTATTTACAGAATTCTACGCCAAGTGTGACTGAGACCATAAAGGAATCAGGAATTGTATCACCTGTTCCTCAGTATTCAAGTGCTTCATGGGTTTTATGGTGTCAGTGATGGGCTTTTCAAGGCTATAAAGCCAGCTTATTCTTGAACGATGGACATTGTGGAAACTAGGAATCCATCCATACTCCATATCCCTTTCCCCAAACTTCACAATGCTGCTCCAATTGATTCTTCTTAGCCTGTGGTTCATCACAATACCAGCAGGTTGCAGTGAACTTGTTGATCCTCCGATTGCAGCAATCCACATGGGTGACCAGGGAAGAAACCCTGCTCCTAATTCATCCCGGCTCTGTGGTATGCTTCAATCATTCCATTTACAAATCCTCCCCCCTGCATGCATGAAACCTAAGTTGGGCTTGCTTGCTGATTCTTTGTGGATACATGTTCTATACATCCTCCACTACTCATCCATAAAGCCCTTGAAGAACCTTTAGAAAGCGAGCAACAATCATTGACTGCAATGAAAAAAATTCACATGACGCTTTTCTCAAAAGTAAATCTCAACTGTGCTAAGAAAAAACATTGGTTGACAAAGGCAATACTAGAGAACCCTCAAGCAGGGCATTCAGCTTCCTCAAGAAGTAAGTTTCTTGCTCTTCTTTTTTGATATGGTTTTGAGGGGTCATGTTGTTGAAAGTTTCTCTTGTCTCTTCAGAATCAAACTTACAGAAACATTGGGGTATGAATCAAGGTAAAAGGATTTCTCTGCCTATGATGACTTGCTCAGCCACATTAACTGAGCCTAATGATATTTTAGGGAAAATAAAAGTGTTTGCCAAAAGTGCAGATAAGCTTTTAAAACACCAGAAAGAGCTGGAAAGACAGACTCAATGGCTTGAAGAGAATAGAAAAAACACATATCATACATCCATGGCAAGAAAATTAGTGGAAGAATCTCAAAGAGACATTTCAATGTTGAAAGGATTCAGATTTTTAAAACTTTCAAATCTTGATCCAAAGGCATCAAGCAATAAATTGATTCCATTCTTGTTTCCAGATGAGGATGAGTTACTTATGATGAAGCTCAAAGACTTTCCCGATGACCTGTCCTTGACAATCTTCAACAAGGCATTGCAAGTATTTGCAGAAAAATCTCTGGAAAAACTCTCAAAACTGATTACTGAATATAGCCTCCAATTCAAAGACCCTGAATTGGAGGGAAAATCATTCAAGACCCTGACAGCATGGCAGTATGTGTTTGATACTATTGATTTTTTCCTTCAGAATGAATTTATCAATCAGGAACAGCACAGAAACATTTTTCAAGAATACAATATGTTGAGAGAAGTAATATACTACACCTCCAATGTGTTCCAAGTTCAGAGTAGAGAAAACTTGGATGATAATTTGCTAGCATTGACAAAGCACTGGTATTGGAAATCTGAAAAAAACCCTTTTTCAGGTGATTTTGTGCTATCTTTATCATTTCTCTTCCTTTATTCTGGAAGATTCTGTACATTTATTGACATAAAATTACATCAAATTTATTAGATCTCAGATCAAGAGGGCAAGAAAGGGTGATTGAATTTGTTTCTATTCTGGAAAGAATAAAACAAAATCTTGAGAATTTGACCACACTGCATGATGATACCAAATCTAAGGATTCATTTCAAAGAATTTCCAACATGCTTTCCAGTCCAGATTATTTCAACACCTACAAATACATACATGGATCAAATCCTCCAGTGTCTTATGGAATTGAAAGCGTCCAACTTGGCCATCAGGTTTTGACTGATCCAAAAGGCTTTGTTGCAGCCACCAAAACAATCATTCATCAAGTCTTGCTACACTCTGAAATTCCATCTGGATTTGTGTATCTTATGACTGAGGATCAAAGTGATGTATGTGTTTCAATTTTTTATCTTCTGGCATTCATTGAAAGGGAGCTATCTCCTGGAATTACCAAAGAATTGTGAGTATATTTTTGTTTGTTTGTTTTGAACTAATTTGAAATCTATCAAAAAAGGGTAATTGTAGTGATGCTATCTCTTTCTCTTATAATAGAATTGATGAATTTCTATTTCTGAATCGCCCAAACTTGGAAAAATTGTGTGAGAAGACTCAAGATGAAACTAAGGAAGTGATACAATTGGTATTTCTTACCTCAAGGTATCACATGTTAAAGCAAATTGCTGAGGAGTATTGGCAGATAAAAAATAATGTATCTGGAAACTCCACTCAGGGTTTGGCTTACAATAAATCAATTTATCAAGGCTATCTGAAAGAATTGGCAGAGGTTTTCAAAGATTTCAAAGATGTTAAATTCAGATTTCCTCCAGATGATTTTAGAACAGTGAAGTTTGATATACATTTCAAATACAAAATTGAACTTATTGACCAGAATGGTGAAATCCAATTGAATCATTTGGAGGCCAAAGCTTAGGATTCTTTTCAAGAAATCCAAAAACAGATGTCTGGGTAATAAATTTTTGGATCACATTTCATGCAAGATGGAGCTTCTTTGATAGAAATATTACTTCAATCTATATATCTATCTTTTGCACAAAATATTTGTATCAAAACTTCCTTTTTTGGTCACTGGATATTTTCTTTCTTTTATATTTTGATATGTTGAAGTTAGAAGGTATCAAAGATAACCCAATGCACTATTATTTAATTGACTGGTTTAAAAAAATCCACCCTTTTTGAAACACAATTGGTTCTTCATTTAACCCCTTTTGGTGGTTTCTAAAGGTGTTTTTCCCCCCCTTTGATACCCCCCCTCCTTTTATGTCTTCCCCCCCCCCTCAAAAAAAGG